AGGGCTGCATGGGGAGCAGCACGACACCCCCCCCCCCCAATAACATCCATTTTAAAGGGAAAGATGGGTGGCAGTGCATCATTGATGCCTTCCACTTTAAGGAGCAAGAACAGGCAGCAGGGGCTCCTAGCAGGTGACTGCAGAGGCAATTAGGCAGTCACAAGACAGCCAGCTGGCTGCCCAATTGGTGCTGAGCCGCAGGGCCTCTGCACAAGAGCAGGCCCTGGCAGGCAAAGCAGGCAGTTGCTGTTGGGATGCTGCTGTGAAAACATCTCCAGCTTATCATCTACTGTTCCTAGGTACATCTGGAGGTTTAGGGAGGAACTATGGGAATGGAGGAGGTTCCTAGGGGCCCAGTGGGGTCTCAAGCCTCTGAGAAAGGACTTATGTCTTAACAAGAGCAAGGCTCAGCCAGAGAAGGGGCTTATAAGTGTGGGCCTGCATAGGGGCTAGATCAGCCCTGCTTGGAACGGGCAGGGGAAAACTACAGGTTCTGGGGAGCCCAGATGAGAACTGAGTGGCGTAGTTAAGATCCCTGGGGCACTAAGCAAGCCCAGGGAGAGAAGCAGCAGTCCCAAAACACTCATAATCCAGATGTAATTGGACAAGGGCAGGTAGGCCTGCACTGGTCCTGGGTATGACAGAAAACTTCACCATGTAAGGAAAGGATGGCCTGGTGGGGCTACTCATGGCAGAGGACCTCCCCAGAAATGCCCAGCCAGTTGCCTCCCCAGTGAAAAGTGAGGAGGGGTGCCTTGAAACTACAGCCCCCACAATCTGGTGGGTAAACCAGAGTAGGGATAGGCCAGAGGGTCTAGGCATTGTTATCAGAGGCCTGAGACCAAAAAAGCGTAAGACCTGTGTTTGGAGGGGCCCAAGAAGACGGACCTATTTGAGATGGAGTGGGCTAGCTGCTCAGAGACCTGACCAAAGGGACCCTCAACTAGTCAGTGCTGGGGCCAGGACCAGAATGGTCAAAAAGGCCAGGGTGCCCACCATGAGGGATGCCCAGAGCCAGAGGACCTAGGGTTCCGACTGGCCTACAGGCAGGGCCAGGGCCTAGGTGGTCGAAGGTCCCAGAAAGGGGGCCACTGCTGAAAAAAAGAAGGGTACAGGGAGCTTGACAGCCCAGAATGAGGGCACTGTAGACCGCTTGATTAGGAGGGATATAGTTGGGATCCAGACTCAAATGTTATGGGGCCCAGTGTGGGGCTGGAGCTGTTAAGAAATTAGGATTCCATCTGCAAGGCATGGGACACAATAAGGGAAGGTCAGTGTCATGCATGTACTGCTGGCATCAGGGCACATGAAGAGCAGCCTCGTGCCCGATTAACGTCTTAATTACTTTACAAGGTGTGGCAGGTGAGTAAGGCGGGCAGCTTACCCAAAGACAGTTGGGCAACCAATGCTGCAACTGGTCCGGGAAGGCCCACTTGCTATAACATATTTCTTATTCACTAGAAGATTAACGTTTTGCTCATATTTCTATCAAGCTCCATTAAGATGGCAACTATGGGGGAGTGGTGGGGGGGGGGCACAGCGAAAGATACCTAACTGCAAGTGTATACTACAGACCACCCAACCAGAGGGAGGAACCTGAGAACTGAAAGTGGCCATGCGTGCATGAGACATGGTCGTCACGGGCAACTTTAATTATCCGACATCTTCTGGGTGGAACCCTGGGCCAGGTCGCTTCAGTTGCATTTCTTCCAGACCTGCATTGAGGAGCTCTTCCTGACTCAGGAGTTGCACGGGCCAACCAGAGGCGACATTCTGCTAGACTTGGTCCTGGCCAAAAAAAGATTACCTGGTGACAGACTTAAATATAGAGGGCAGTCTGGGCGACAGCAACCATGAAACCATTGTGCTCACTGTCCATCACAAGGCAGACAAATCTGATAGCAGGGTTGAAGTCTTGGACTTCAAAAAAATGCAAATTTCAACAAGCTCAGGTCACTACTAGGGGAAAGTGTTGCAGGAGCAGGGACCAAAGGCAAAAGGCACGCATGACGAGTGGCTGGTTCCTTAAGGACACGATCCTTGAACCACAAATGAAGTTCATTCCCATCTGAAGAAAAGGAAACAGAATGGCTGGAAAGCCCTCTTGGCTAAACAGGGAAATCACAGTCCTGTTAAGAATGAAGAAAGAGGCTTATAAACAATGAAAGCATGGGGCAGGCCAAGGAGGACTATACAATGAAAGCCTGAAATTGTAAGGAACAGCTTAGAAAGGCTAAAGCAGTGACTGAACTCAAATTAACAATGGGAATCAAGGACAACAAGAAATCCTTCTTTAGGAACATAGGGAAGAGGAGGAAAACAAATGGGTGTGGGCGACTGCTCAACAACTTCTTGCCCATCCACAAGAAGGGCAGGAGGGAGGACCCAGGTAACTATAGGACAAATAGCTTAACTTCTCTCGCAGGGAAAGTCCTGGAAAAAAACTCATCAAGGAGTCTATTTGCAGTAAGCTTGCAGAAGGTAGGATCCTGAACGACAGCCAGCATGGCTTCATCGCAAGCAGGCCTTGCCTTACCAATCTCATCTCCTTTTATGACGAGGTAACCTGCCACCTGGACAAGAGAGAGGAGGTTGACGGGGTATACCTTGACTGCCAAAAAGCCTTTGATCTCCTTTCCCACAAGGTTCTTGTAAGAAAATTGGAGGATTGTGGGTCTGACTCTAAGACAATCAGGTGGGTGGGAACCTGGCTGCAGGATGGGACCTGGAGCATCCTAATGAACGAATTTGTCATCCTGGCAAGAAATGGCCAGCAGTGTCCCACAGGGGTCCGTGATTGGTCCAGTACTTCTCAACATCCTTATCAAAGATTTAGATGTGGGAGTGAAGAAGTCACTGGCCAAGTTCATAGATGACACCAAGATATGGGGGAACGTGGTCACACTTGAAGATGGGCTACAGATACAAGTGGACCTAGAAAGGTTATCAAGTTGGGTGGATCAGAATCTGATGAAGTTCAATGTCGAGAAATGTAAATTGCTCCATCTGGGAATGAATAAGCCCCTGCTCACTTACAGGCTTGGTGGCACCAAACTGACCAGCACCACAAATGAAAGGGACCTTGGGGTTATAATAGACCACAGTATGAATACGAGCTGGCAGTGAGATGTTGTAGCCAGCAGGGCAAATAATACGCTGGTGTGCATCAATTGACTCATCTCCAGCAAAAATCAAGGAAGTGATTCTTCTGCTCTACTTGGCATTGGTGAGACTGCAGCTGGAGTACTGTATCCAGTTCTGGGTGCCACACTTTAACAAGGACATAGACAAGATTGACAGAGTCTAGCAAAGAGCCACCAACATGATCAGAAACTTGCATGGCAAGCCATACAAGGAAAGGCTGAGGGGCCTAGGACTCTTCAGCCTGAAAGAGAGAAGGCTGAGAAAGAACCTGGTAGCAGCTTACCACTACATTAGAGGAATACATATCAAGGGCTTGGTGAACAGCTGTTCACCAGGTCACCCTTGGGGAAAACCAGGAATAATGGCCACAAATTCCTGGAAGACCGTTTCAGACTCAATATTAGGAAAAACTTCTTCACAGCCAGACTGTGGAATAAGCTCCCTCCAGAGATGGTGCAGTCACCTACTCTGGAAATCTTCAAGAGGCAACTGGACAGTCACCTTGCTGGGGTCACTTGACCCCAGTTGCCTTTCCTGCTTGGTGCAGGGGACTGGACCTGATGATCTTCCGAGGTCCCTTCCAACCTTACAATCTATGAATTTAATTAAACACACAAAACCAGCACTTGAAATTTATTAAATAAAACTTTAATGTGTTGGATAGATAACTTTTTTTAAAATCAAAACATGGTGCATGTTTACAGCCAACTAAATTTCTTAAACATTATTAACTGTTATAGTATTAGAAGTGTGAACTGTAGTTATTGAATTAAACCAATTATTTCAGGTTACTCTGGAAGCAATTTTCTAAAATGCCTAAGAGTCATTTGAGTTTAAGTTCCTATTTGCCACATTCTTTTTTAAAATGAGACAGTCATCATTTTTTTTGTTGTTGTTAACATTGGCTGTTTTGAAAAATTTTATCCTCTCTCTTTCACCTTTTTAGAGCTCATAAACCTCATCCTCCTCTTTTTCTTCATAAACTGGAAAAGAAAAAAAACAAGGTTTCCTGCTTTTTTCAATTTCTAATCAATTTGACAGCTACTACTGGTAAAAGCTGGTTTAGCACTTCAACAGACTCTGGTTTCAGGTGCTTTGCCAGAGATTCCCACTAGTTCAGTGGTACTTTTCTTTAAAACATCTCCAGTAAATATGTCTGATATGTATCTATTAGTTTCCTAGGTAGAGAAACATCTGTATCAAATCTACTATAAAAACTGTATTTAGTTGTAACTTAACATGTTTTAATTTT